TCTTCTTCTTCTTCTTCTTCTTCTTCTTCTTCTGAACTGTTTTCTAAAAATGGCTTTTTGTCTTCTACCAACATAACTTGAACCTAAAGTTGGCAGTTGAAGGCGGGATTTGCAGGTGCTGAATTACAACTTGAACTGCTGAACCACCCACGATCCCAATTGGATGAAGTGCTCTAATGCTGCCTCGAGACTCTTAGAAGACAATCCGATAGAAAAGGATGACGAAGTTAAGTCGTTTTTATTGCGCTTCACTGCTCACACGAAAGTCTAAGCCTAGATCAATCAACGGTTCGGAGGACAGGTCGGAAGACCCACTTATGGAAAACTCAAACTCCCCGTAAACCCTCCTATAAACACCTCAAGTACGCCGTTCTGATTGGACACAGGCAACCCGAATGAGGCCTTGACTTACTTTTGGGCAACACGATGTGCTCATTCGTATTCATTCAATGGAGAACAGCCTTATCTGAGCCGTAAGAAAATAACTGAGACTATCCTTAGTTAGTCCATCTGCAAACGCCGCGACGTAATTTTCGACTGGGCAGAGACTATCGGTGTTGTTCTGAGACGATTTTTCACCAGCGCTGCGGACCTCAACAAGAAGTAGTATATGACATATCTAGAATCGAATGTATCATTTCAAAAGGCCTCACAATGCAGTCAAAAGTAAACGAACAGTCGCTGGTTGGGCAATTTGCAAGGTGACGGCGTCGGCATCACATCTCGGTAGAGTCCACAGACTGAAGACATTGTCCCAAATTGACCGGGTGTTTTTTTTCCATTTCTGGTGTTCGCCAGTATGTTCTGATTGTACAACGTGAAGAGGTACTTCCGTTCTGCTTTTACAGCTATCGCCGGCGGTCGTAACCAGTAACGGAGGACTGCTACCTACAAAGAGAAGGGAGGCTGAGATTTCCATTTGCGATTTGTACATTATCATTGTCTAGTCACGCTCTAACCACGCGCCGTGAATACCTGGCGGCCAAATAGATGATCGGTATGGCCAATCATCTTCCTGTGACTGACTCACACATAACCGCGCCGTAGACGCTGTGATGATTTCCGCGCTCCCACGCCTCGGAAGCTAGCTCCTCACGGGTGGTCGTGCACTCGTCCAATTATCAACTTCTTCCAACCTATCCTCTATTACCTCTGTAGAGAATGAAATATTCCTCCCACCTGGCGTCCCCCTTCTTCCCTTCCCATGCAGAACTGGGTCTGAAGATCGTAAGGGCAAGGGTTTTCCCTATTAAGTTAAGCTACTGCCATAATTCTGTCACACTTTGCGACCTCTTGACAGTAGTAGCAACGAGTTACGAGAGAGTTTCCAAAGGAGAGTAATCAAACTGATAGCACCATAAACTATGCGTCTAGGGGGATGTCTCTTCTTCATAGACGAGCACAACACCACACACCGGTCGAGGGCAGAAATGAGAAGCTCAGAGACTGTCACTTTTAAATGCATTAAGCGTTGCATTATTTTACAAATTTTGGGGTGGGTTTTAAGACTTATAGGGAATTCTGGCTAACTTAGCCATATTGGATCAACACATTTTGGTCCGATGAAATGGTAGTCCGGCTGAGACATCTAATTGCCCTTCCTGTCCATTCGCAATAGATGGATTAAAAGGGCATGAAAGAGGGTCATTTATTGAACGCTAGAGTGGGATACGACAGCTTTCGGTTGAATAAAAAAAGTTTTGTTATTTTGAGATTTTGTAAGAACGTGAAATAAATTTGCATTTTTCCGCTTGGTAAGGGTTCCGATAAAGCATAGAGCGTGATCCACATAAGTTACACAATTTCATGATCTATGTATGGCCTTTTGCTAATAGCATATCCCATAAAACGGTCGGTGAGCGTCTTATAAATATAATAAATATACCCTGCTGTGGCCGATAGGATTACGAGCCGGTTACCTAATGGCTAGAGCGTTGGACTAATAGACAGACGAGTGCGGATTGGTTCCTCGTGTGGTGCACCACCTGGGGTTGGGTATGCCCTGTTGATAAGGACTATTAAGCCAGAAGTAGCCATTCCATTCCCTCTGGCCTTTGAAGGAATGTCATCCTGCTTATGCTACTAGCCGCTGAGCGGCCATTGGTGAAAATCGAGATTGAACGGAGGAGTGTGTTCCGTAATTCGATCGGTGAGTATCCCTCTGTCATTGTTCATGTACCAGAGTACAATCGATAGGACAGTGCGCTTGTGGACTTCTAACAAAAAGTCGTGGGCTCGAGCCTCAGGAGGTCGATGCGAAACATGGTGTTTGGTATGACTGGCTGAAGATGGCTAATAAGCCTGAAATTGGCATTCCAGACTTCCTGGCCTTGGATAATAATGCCATTCTGCTCATAGTGTTCGGCCAGCCGAACATTTCGACTGTCGTCTTATCCGGCGAGGTCCACCGCGTACTTCAGCAGGCTGAAGACAAACACGGTAATCTACGCGTGAGTTAGTTTTAAGTGACAGTAGACTTGCGCTGCATCTACCACACTCTCTTTCGCTTTCAAGACAGAGTCAAAAGGTCCGGAAGCGGGAGAAAGCGCAGGTGCTTGGCGTGGTGTGAACCTGCATCTACGCGTGCCCCCACTTCCTCCATGCATGCGCATCGCCAATAACGCCTGACGTGTCCTTACCTAGTCACCCGTGTTAGTCCAGCGCAGCTGTGGTAGCCCTTTGCCAAACTTGCATGTCTTTACAACTGTGCCATATTTTCATTTGTACACAACTTTCTAGACTAACTCTTCCCATTACGCATTTCTGTAACTTGCACTTACAACCTTTTGTTTAAGTTGGCGTACAACCGTTTCCCGCTACACTTTAACTTGTCTGCATGTTAACTCAATAGCGGACATTTTCCTCCCATTGGTCCTCTTCACTAGACGGGGTACGTAGTCGTTTTTCGTATATTCAGGGTATCCGACTCGGCTTGGCTTGGCATTTTTTTGGCGTGGGATCGCATCATCGATTGCCTTTCTCAGTTAGCCGAAACACCTACCACGTGGCCCGTTTAGGTAGCATTCGGACAGTCCACTGAAAGGCGGAAGCGAGAGAGTAAATCCTGCCAGATAGGAAGAATGCGTGACGCAGTGAAGCTGCAGCTCAAATATCGAGGAGAGGAACGAGACGCGCATGTCCCGTAACGCGCGATTCCCCAGTACCCTCTACCATAATGGAGGATTTTCCCAAGATTGAAACTGTACAAATTGTAGTTTAGAAGGCTTTCATCATGCCTGATCTAACCAGCTTCAATTATGTCACGGACGGTACTTCATGCGTGACGACTGGCGGCAGCGCATCTGGAAACTTCCACCCACTATCTTCTCCAGCGATGGAGTCCGAAAACCGAAGATCAAAGAACTGCTTCTATGTCCTGACGAATGGTATCCAACCAGGTCTTGAGCTGCTTTCCACTTCGACGCATGCAGGAGGGCTATGGCGCCGGACCGAGGGCAGCATAACAAAGCCCATGAAGCGGACGACAGAGAACGTGCCCGAACCGCCTCAGTCATCTTTCTTGGATGGCCTGAGATATCCTCTCGACCCTATTACAGCAGGAGCGCACTGTGTAATTTGAGACGAAAATGGTATACTTGACTCTTGGGATGGTCCTTAGGCAGCGGTGGTCAAATACCTTTAGTCCTCGCTCACCTTCAACGCGCAAGACCCAGCATTCACATCAAGAGAGGAAGACAGACCGGATGGATGCGCGGCACACACAGATCTTCGTGGCGACGACGAGGTCAAGTCGGACCCACAGGCGCTTTCGGAGGATTAGGAAAACTCGGCGAGCAACATCGATTCGGGAGACAAGGTCGTTCTTAATCTTTCCATTCGGTAGCAGCCTCGCTCCTAGATATTTAAAGCTGTGTTCTTCTTCAAGTTGATGGCAATTAATGCCCACGGGTGCCTTCTATTGGTCAGGGATGCAGCTGGAGAATAATTTGGTCTTCCCGGTATTTATGGACAAGCCAAACGACATAGCGATCTCAGTCACCCGTGACACTACAGACTGTAGATGACCAAATCTCGAAACTAGCAGGGTGATATCATTGGCGTATTGGTGATCAGTCAGTTGGCGTCCAACAAGCTCCCCACCGTCCTCTTCCTGTAGGGCCTTCCCGTCAGTGGCGTAGTTAAACACAACGGGCGACAACAACGCGAGTGAAATGTCAGGTCGAATTTAAGTGCATTCAGCAGTCAAACAAAAAAAAACTGTTATAAAACCAAGAGCTATCCTTTCTTTAATCATACAATTTGAAAAGTGTCAACCCCTTTCTACTTGCGAGCTTCCTGTTGGACCGACAGGATTTTTGCGTGTATGCCGTGGATCCTCCTCCTCCTTCCCCACTCCATCATCCTTCCCGACTCCGACTGGCAGGCGCAACTGTCGTGTGCCCTAGCAAATGTGTTGTTTACCCGCCATTCGTAATCGCGACTCCTTTGTCACCGTTAATAATGACTGCAAACTCCGCACGCTGTGCAGTTATCGACTCCTCGCGTAACGGACCACCGCACTTGCGCCCCACGCGTGCGTTGGCCGCTTGCGTGTTATGCACTCAATAAATCAGTTGGCCTGGCGTGGCGCAGCGCAGCGAAGAGGTGCTTGCTATTATGGTGGTGGTGGCGGTGGTGGCGGCTGTAGTCTCGACAGCGTAGTCGAAGTAGACAAAGCTGCAGCCAGTTTCGGTTGTCAAGCCCCTACCCCGGTGATAGCCACGCCTTTGTGTTGGTTGCTGAGGTGCTGATGGTACAGGGTGTTTACGTCGGCGCTCCGGACGCTATACCCCTTCCCCGCCCTTTGATGAATGAATCCCCGAGGTCCCCTTCTACGGTTGTTACCTCCGTACCCCCTACAATCAATCTCCTATCGTTCAGCCCCTGGAAGTCAGGGCGCTGTTAATTAAAATGTAACCTAGGCCCTAGCAACCCTTTATGTGAAGGGCCGAGTGCTGCGAGTGGAGGAGTTGCGAGACGGGTCGGCAGTGAAAACGTAAG